CAGAAATCAGCTGGAAGGGACAGGGGCAGTGGCAGGGGTCTTGCCTGCATTCTAAATTTTAGGAAGGAGGGAGAAGAGCAGAAATTTTGGGATCGCCCCACCTGTGAGAATAAGGTACACAGACCCTGCCTAAAACTGGAGGAGGATGCATAGAACTAAGAACCACCCCTAATCACCATGAGTTATGCTCCAAATAAGAAGCAACAGCAGTCTATTGAGACTTAAGACAATCTAACCCCATTGTGATGCAGATTTGCAGGACCTACAGGAAGTTGAGGCTAGTGAAAGAATACTGAAAGAAATACTCCCCCACTCTGGGCCTCACATTAAGTACCACACAGTGGCAGTCCACTACTGTAGTACTTTGAAGGTAAATAAAGCAATAATAAAACCCAAACCCAGTTCAACTTCAGACTAAACCAGTGGTCGGCAAACTCATTAGTCAACAGAGCCAAATATCAACAGTACAACGACTGAAATTTCTTTTGAAAGCCAAATTTTTTAAACTTAAACTATATAGGTAGGTACATTGTTATTAACTTACTAAGGTACCCCTACCTGGCCTTTGCTAAAAACGTCCTCAATCTGATTGAGGTACGTTCACTGAGATCCACCTCTTCCAACTCTCCCATCCACACTCATCTTCTATACTTGTACCTCAAGACAATGTACCTCCCCTGCACCCTGTCTCCCGTCGCCTGACCGGCCAGCACCCCCCACTTCTTCTAAGGCCACTTCTTCAAAATAGACTTGCCCAGGCTGAAAACCGACTTCTGCGCGTGGGCCACGAAGTTTCAATCGCACTGTACGTGCGCCCACATGTGGTATTTTGTGGAAGAGCCACACTCAAGGGGCCAAAGAGCCACGTGTGGTTCGCGAGCCGCAGTTTGCCGACCACTGGACTAAACCAATGCAACCCACCACACTAACAGACTAACAAAAGCAGAGGAGAGTATGTCCATATACAGCTAAAAATAATAAACACTCTACTGTTTATTTAAAATGTTTGCTAGTCGATAAAAACTTACAACACAGTGCCGAGAGATAAGAATCAACGAAACCAGAAGACAGCCCCAATGTTTAAAAAAATGGAAAACTAATGAATTAACTTGGCAAAATTGGAAAACTAGGGAATTGGGAAATAGGCTAGAAACCGATCATCCAGAATGAAGCATGGAAAAAGTTGATAGTAGAAATATGATAGTTATGAGCACAAGCTTTGAAATCTGTCCTTTACTTCGTTGTGCCTTTAGATTTACTCTCTATGCTTAATTTCTTCACCCACAAAAGGGGAATTATAATAGTATCAACTAAACAGGTATATTATGAACTTTGCTGGCACATAGTATGTATCCAGCAAACACCAGCTATTATCAAGCAATACCATCAATGTCAAAAAAGGATTTTCATATGAACAGCTTAGTAGACACTCTATTAGTTTTTTCATTATTTGAGCTTGGATTTTAACACAATTAAAAAAAAAGACTTAAAAAAAAAGCCTCTCTGGAGGATATTTTTTCCATTGATTTGCAGAGAGTGGAAAGGAGGGGGGAAGAGGGAGAGAGTGGTTACCCCCCTCCACACACACACACACACACACACACACACACACACACACACATATCAGCAATTGAACCTGCAACCCAGGTACGTGCCGCCCTTGACTTGGAATTGAATTGAACCTGAGACCTTTTGGTGTGCAAGCTGATGCTCTAATCACTGAGCATGCTGGCCAGGGCAAAATAAAAAGACTTTTTATTTAAAGTATATGAGATTACATACAGGAAGATATTACTAAAAGGCAAAGAAACCGATAGACCTTACTTATATAAGCACATGCATAAAAACTTGGAAATAGCCACTATTATTAACATGTTACTGTGTCCCTGGGCACGTTTTGTTTCCTTCTTTTTTTTTTTTTTTTTAATATATTTTATTGATTTTTTACAGAAAGGAAGGGAGAGAGATAGTCAGAAACATCGATGAGAGAGAAACATCGACCAGCTGCCTCCTGCACATCTCCTACTGGGGATGTGCCCGCAACCCAGGTACATGCCCCTGACCGGAATCGAACCCGGGACCTTTCAGTCCGCAGGCCAACGCTCTATCCACTGAGCCAAACCGGTTTTGGCTTGTTTCCTTCTTTATACTTAGTTTTCCAAAAATTTTTTAATGCACTTGGTCTTACTTTGATAAATAAGGCAAATAGTTACCTGCAAATGAAAAGATGTGGTTTTTTCTACAACTTATATCACAATAAACTCTATAAAGACCCCCTAAGAATAATTCTCTTTCGAAATTGCTGTATTGATGGTTTACACTCCTTAGTGGCTACATACTACAAAGGAAGTAGTAAATATAAAACAATAAAGTACTACTCTAGTAAATACTAAATGGAAGGTTAAAATCACTTCACTAAATGCAGTTTAGATAGGTAAGTATGCATCAAATATTTTTTTACTATGAAAAATTTCAAACAGAAGTAGAGACAATAATGAACCTCTATGTACCAATCAATCTTCAACAATTAACCTATCTTGCTTTTACTTTTACCATCCTCTATTTTAAAGCAAATCCCAATGACATTAAGGATGCCTGTTTTTAAAATGGTGGCAGCAACCTGTGGTAAATTATAAATCCCTCCCATCTGAGCACACAGGCCCCTTTGTATTGTGATATTGCTGCTCTGCCCAGTAAGAGGTGGAATCTTAATTCCACGCCTCTTTAATAAGGGCTTGTCTTGTGAGATTTACTTTAAGAGAATGTGCAGCATGGGGTGGGCTCAAAGGGGTTAATGGGAGGGGGGAGGAAAAGGGGACATACGTTAATACTTTTAATAATAAAGATTTAAAAAATAAAAGTATGTGCCACGTTACGTGACATTTTATGATTTGCGAAGCTGTAAGAAGTCTTATAGCTTCCGTTTTCCCTCTCTCGGATTGGTCTTGAAACCCCCATATCATAAAAGACCACTTGGAGCAAAGCCTAAATATTAAGCAACACCAACGGTCAGTCATGTGAGTGATGCCATCTTGGACCTTCCAGCCTGAGAAATCTCCCAGTTGAATGGTGAACATGAGTGAACCTAGGCAAAACAAGTATACCTGCCCAAAAGGCACACAGAAGTGTAAAAAAATAGTAAACAGTAGTGTGTCCAAAAATGGGCCATGCTAACCTGACTAGCTCAGGGAAGGCCTGTGTGACGGCCTTGCAAACTCGGAGAGCTAAAGTAACCACAAAGGATGGTCTGAAATTAAAACTTTTTAAACTAAAAGCAGTTTATGGTGGAGTGCCATTCTCCAGAGCATTATCTCAATCCTTTGAAATTCTGCTTCTTGGTATTTGTTGACAGTTTGGCTCACATAAACTCACAAAAAATTCTTCACAGGTTTGAATGTTTTCTTACACTGACAGTAGCTTTAATCCACTAGATTTTGAGGTGGGTTGCTATCCAGCCATAAAGCTTCAAAATCTAAACCTAACTTTCACTTTCCTCCATTTATCATGTCAGTTTCTAAGAAAAATCTGATTCTACTTCAGGAAGTAAATGAGAATTTGCCTTAAATATCCAAGTGAGTTGCAGGTGCTGAATTACCAAAAGCACAGCATTACTATACAATACATAGATGTCATGAAGGCCAGAGTTATAAAAAAACAATGTACTGTAATTGCTAATTATTAACTACAAACATAGTTAAATTCTATTATGTATCCCTACAGTACTTGGTATATTCTTTTTTTAAAAATCTGCTTCTGGGGAAAAATTTTTTCTCAGTAAGAAATTCTCGTGTTTTATTGTTCTTAGTGAACATGGAGACATGGAAGTTAAGGGTGGTCACATGAGGAAAGCACAGAATTTTTTGGGTCTTTTAAAGACTTTTAGCTAACAAATACTTAAGACACAAAGACCCATCTTTAAAAAATAACTAGAAAAAAGTTCAATATCTACATGAGAAAATGTGACTATGGTAAGTCTACACCACAGTACTTTGAGATAATCTGTTCTCCTTTGAAGTATATTTAAAATTCATGTCTAAAGTTTCAATCTTCACTCAGTAAGTGGAAACCATTTTAGGGTTTTTTTCTGGAAGTGAGAATTACATTCAAGTGCAATAATTATAATGGAAAATGAGAACTAACTTTTAAGATAAAAAAATATGCCTTCTTTTAAAGCTGTAGACAAAAGTGGGTGTATGCAGAAGACAAGTAGGTGATTTGAAAACCAGGTGTTCAACTTATCTAGTCTAACCGGTATATCACAGAGAACGAGAAAAACCAGCTTTGACCATGAGTTCAGACCAGAATATAAAAGTTAAAAATTAAGGTCAATAAAAATTAAACTCCAGCCAAATAACTCTCAAATTATAAGTTTATGCCCCTGCTTTTGGGTTCATTTTATGATTAGCAACTGTATTTAGATATATTTTCTTGCAAAATAATGATTTGTGAGAAGATAAATTATTTCACTGTAATAGGATTCTGCATTAATGAATTCAAGTAGGTTTTAGTAAGAACTCAAAATCTTACTCATTTTAAATGGTAATCATCTTAAATGTGATCAGCTGTTGATTCTTTTAGACTCATTACTTCTTAAGTTTAATTTGTTGGTTAAAAATGAGGTTTGATGAAAGCCTGTGCATTTCCCAGTTGGCACTGGCACTTAATTATTGTAGTAAAGAAGTATGTGTCAGCAAAGATAATCTAAAAACTATTTTTATTTGGTGCAGGGATGCAATAGCTCTCCATCCCAACAGCAGAGCACTAACTTTGTAAAACAATACAGGTCTTTCATGGCCTGCTCTAATTTCCATTCAATTTGTTTCAGTTATGGGGAAGGAACTGCCCACTCCTAAAACCATGATACCATGACTTTGCAGTTTCATTATCAAACTCTTAAGTCATCATCCTTCACATCTTTGTTAAAGCAATACTTCCTGTAAAATCTTCCCCAAGAATAAACACCCATCCTCTGTGCTGCCAAGGTACTATTATGTACTTACACTAAGATAATAGGAGTAGTTGTTTATATATTAGTCTGATGACTAAACTGTGAGCTGTTGGGAGGGCAGACGCTGTGTCAAGCTCATTCCTTGAAACGTGAAGCCCTCATCTAGAAACCAGTAAACAACAAACAACCTATTATCAAAAAATGCTTTACATTATTTGATAATTTTGCACTACTACAATTATTTTCCTAAAATACAACAGTGAAGTGTGGGTAACTCTTGAACACATACCAGATGAAGAGTTTGTGAAGTGAATACAGGGCTGATTAAAAATTGGCTGCATGAGTGCCACGGATGCCTTTTTATATCCAAGTTGATGATTTGAGAACTTCAAGTAAAACCTATGTGGCATGTCTAAGTAGGGGCATCTTTGTGCTTCATCTAGGAAAATAAGCTTTCTTGCTAATGTGGCAGAAAGATAAATCGCTTGTACTTAAATAAGTAGGAATTTTAAATTTTACTCAAGACATTTACCCAGCAGGCAAGAGTTTGAAAAAAAAACAAAAACAACCCCGACTATGCTTACATCTGTGATATGTAAGCATAAGGCAAAATAAGAGTTGTTAAAGTTCTTACCTCCACACATTCGTAGTAGGGAACTTATGTAAGTATACATTGTGTGAAGCTGTGAGCAATCTGTGGGGGACATGACAGGCAAGAGTAGACTTTTAAGGGTATTTGGACAAGAATTCCCGAACAAGTGGCGGTTAGGTGCCAACTCCAATTGTGCCAGTCCACTGAGAATTCACTCTGCAAGCAGTAGGTCCCCCAGTATTGCTGACAGCCTCATCTAAGTTACTCCTCACATCAAGTCTAGGCATTAACTGCTGCATTTCTAAGGAAATGTGAAGAGGTTAAGTCATTTGCTGCAAAAATCAAGACTCATGGCCAGATCTTCTGGTACACCACTGTTCTTTCACATAATGCTGCAGAGCTGTAAATAAAATACCCCAAATCATGAGGGAAAAAACCTACACTGTCTGTTTTAAGTCAAAACTTTAGCCTTAACCTTACCTTTTAGCTCTATAACATTATGGGTGGATAGGAGTAAGAAAATGGGAGACTTAAAATAATAAAAATACCCCCCAAAAAAGCAACCTACAAAAATCAGGGGGTATGGGGGGTCTTACCAAATTCAATTTCACTTGGCACCTTTACTTTTGAAAAGTGCCAAACGATACCAGTCGTGACGAATTTATTACCAAGACAGAGTTTCCGTACATATTATCTACATCTATACGTAGGGGGAAAAACGTATTTTAGTATTTTTTGGTACGTGTTCGCACACGTTCTCAAGCCCTCACTACGCAGTTTCATCAAAATGAGGGAGTGTTCTACCACTGGTGGCCTCCATATTTTTAACTCTTACGCCATCAGGTCCGTTTTTTAGACATGTCATCACCTGTTTCACGTTGAAAGCCACACAACTGACCACAGCCCCAAAAGAACGCCCCCGAGTCTCACGCCATCCGAGAACCCGGACGGGATCCCGACGTAAATCCTCGCAGCAGCCGAGGGGCAGGGACAGCCCCTTCGCTTCGAGGCCGGGCTGGCGGGGCTCCGACCCCCGCCTTATCCCCCCGGGAACCTCCCGGCCCGTGGGGCTCGGGGGCGCTCCTTACCCCGTCGAAAAGGCCACTGCCAGAGACCAAAGTCGGGCTCCAGCCGCTGGCCCT